TTTTTGTGTATTGGCTTTCTATGGCTATCAAAGTTGAATTACTACTATAAGCTTTCTCTTGAGCCTGAAAAATTTGCAACATAGACACTTATGACATTCATAGTTAAGTGAAAATTTTCTTTATAAGCTGTATGACTTTTATTTCTTTTTCTTGCTGTATTATACTGGCTAAGCCTTCCAGGATTATACTGAGAATTCGTGATGCCAGGCATCATTGCTTTATTCTTTTTGGGAGAAAGCAGTCAACCTTTCATGATTAAGTATGAGAAAAACTATGGGTGTTCATACGTGTCCTCTATCAAGGTAAAGAACTGTCGTCTTTTCCTAGGGACTGAAGGTATTCAGCATGAACAGGCATTGAATTTTGCCAAAGCTTTTTTTCTGCACAAACTAAGATGAGCCAGATTTCTAAAGAGAATCAATATGTTGGTTGAATTTATTTTCTTATTGTTGTTTTTTGTTTCTTTGTTTGTATTTAGTACCGGGTCTACAGGGTCTCCCTACACAGATCGGACTCATAGTGATCCTTCTGTTTTCAGCCTCCCAAGAACTGGGATTACAGGCGCGCACCACCAACCACACTCAATCTCAGTCGCCATCTTAGCACACCCTGGGGACAGGACAAGCATGGCACACTGGGGACTGAAACCCAGTCCCTGAGTCTGCCTAAGCAGGAGCTCTAATTCACTGAGCTATCTGGCTGGCCCTCATTCATTTTTAACTAATGCAATGATCTTATCTTCCAGGGACAAGATCCTCTTCATAACAATATGTTATTGTTTTATATGTTGCTATATTTGATTTACTAAAATATTTTTAGAATACTTGAAATATCTTCATGGGAGTTTTTGATCTGTGGTCTTTATGACTAGTGTCTGTTACTGTGGTAATGTTTTTATTGTTGTGGTAATGCTGGTCTTGTACAGCGAGTCAGAAAGTGTTCAAGGTTCTGATAAGGTCTGTGTAGAAATGATACTACTTCTTTCTTAAGGACTTATGATAAAAATTCCCCAGGGTAGCCATCTAGGCCTTTGCAAGAAGATTTCTACACAAATTTAATTAAAGGATATAGTGTTTTTCAGGATGTTTCTTGTCTTAGAAGGAATCTATAGCTTCATGTGAATTTTGAATTTATAAGCATTGATTTATTCATAATATTGTCTTATATGCTTTGTCATTTCTGAGTCCTATTATTGAACACTGCTCATTCTTTAAATTAATAATTCGTATCTCCCCTCTTTTTATTTATTCAATCTAGAAGTTTATCAATTCTATTCATTTTATAATTTTTTATTTTTTATTGATTCCTTATGCTATATGTTCTTTCTCATAGTATACACTTTGGGTTTCATTTGCTATTTTTATGGTTTTTGGAGTATTCTTCTTTTTCTTTTTTCGGTGGTGAAGACATCAAGCCCAGGCCCCAGGCATGCTAAGCAAACCATCTCACATGAGCGGATGTTATTGCACTTGAGAGATAAGAACTGGTTTTAGTTAATGCATAGCACTCTGTAATAAATTTATTTGAAATTGACAATAATTGTTCCGTTTAAGAAAATAACTGGAGTGCAGCCTACAGAGCGTGTGTCTCGTGTCCTTCTTGTGTCTCTTACCAGCACGTTAGACAGGCTTCCCTGCTTCATCCGCTGCCCAGTCCAGAGTCCCGAGACAGAAGTCCCATGACTCCGGTGTGGCTCCCCATTGCTCCGGCTGCCCCTGGCCAGCCATGGTCCAAAAATATTAATTAGAGAATTCAAGAAGTAAATTCTAAGTTTTAAACCCCACAGTATTCTCTTAGCTACTTAACTGCCTGTTACCCATAAGCACCATCTCAGTTCTCAGAGTGACTGTCACAGTGTCTCAGGGCATGTGACCAAGTGGACCTTCTTTTACTTAATGACCGTCGTTCATAAGGACCTCAAAGTACAAGCGAAGTGAAACTGGCCATTTGAATGTGCTGAAGAGGTACTGTAAAGTACTTCCCTTAAATAAAAGGTGACAATCCTTGATTTAATAAGACAAAAGAATGTCCACTGAGCTTGTTTAGATAGCCAGGAATAATAAACAGGAACAAGGGCTGTGTTTCTAGGAGGTGGTGCTAACTGTGGTTTGAGGCCTCTCCTGGGGGTCATGGACCGCAAACCGCAGGGATAAGGGTAGAGTGCTGCCTTTAGACCCCAATCTACCTGAACTCTGCCCTTCATCCTATTTGTGCTGAAAGAGCACAAGGCTCAGATTTTCCTAATGTATCAACAGATGGGAGATGACTGTGATTGGGCTCGGTATTAGCACCTCAGGTGAACTTCGTCTGTGGGACGGTTAGGTAACAACCATCCCGCATGGTGGGTGGTTAGGGGAGAGATAAGCATAGAAAAGGGGGAGGAAAGGGTATGCATAACTCTGTCATAAGTAAAATGAATAAAGATTTAGATTCGGTGGCCAACGACTGTTCTAAGATCCTAAGATCTGTGAGGACAGTGAAACACAGGTTACTTGTTTCCATTCCTTCAGTGCAGTGAGTTAATGGCCAAGTGGAGCATTCTCTTCTCTCTTATCCACGTTAGATAGGATAAGGTCAGGCCTCTCTAACACAGAGGCCTAACATCATTCTACGGCATAAAACACCCCAGCAGTTACTTCTCCCTTATGTAAAAGCTGAGTTGAAGGGCAGGTAGATAGCTCAGTAGAATAAGTACCTTCCTGGCAAACACAGGGTCCTGAGTTCAATCCCTGGTACTGCCAGAAAAAGGAAAAAAAAAAAAAAGTAAATTTACTGGGGGCCGGGGAGATAGCTCAGTTGAATAAGCGCTTGCTTGGCAAGTGCAAGGGCCTGAGTTCAATCCCTCGTTCAAAAAAAAAAGCTGAGTTGAGCTCCTCTCTACCCTCCAACCCGAAACATGGCCGCTCTCCACCTTGAAGGTCAAGGGCTCCTGTTCCTACAGGGGCTCTTTGCCACGTTTCAGGTCTTGTCACCACTGACCTGCTCTCACTGGTTCCCTTGGGTTTTGCCCACCCTAAGAGGAAAGGTCAGTGGTGGAAAGTGGGATAAAGAATCTATGCTAGCAGGCTGAGGGATCTGCACTGGAGCTAGGAAGCGACGCTCAAGGTAAGCACCAGAGCTCCCCCAAAGGTGCCACAGCCGTCCTCAGCCACAGTGAGGTCCCAGGCTCCTCCAGTGATGAGGAAAGCTGAGCTCCCCTCAGGAAAGCAAATGCAGCAAGCTTCTCCACGAGGCTGAGCAGTGCGCTGCCTTCCCCTCTGGAGCCAGGAAGCGATGCTCAAGATGAGACCCAAGCTCCTCCTCAGTTCACTGGGAAAGCCAGCATGACAGGGTCCTCCAGCAGCTGAACAGCCCAAGAGAACCAGCAGCTTCCAACAGCTCCAACAGCTTCCCCGAGCAGCATCCCTAAAGCATCCCCACAGCTTCCCCTGTTCTGCTTTTTCTGCTGCTGGCAACAGCTCTCACATGGGCCTCGAGCATCCAGAACCACGCGGCTTTAATTCAGCTGCGTGTAACAAGTTGAGCACCAGTTAGAACCCACTAATCAAGCTCCTCACTTCCCTTCGCAGCCTCCTTACCGCCATTCACAATCTCTTCATGTCCCTTCGTGGTCTCCTCACTACTGTGCGTGCTCCCCTGATGGGAGTGTCCTTTGGCTACCTCTTGCCGCAAGAGTGCCTGGGAGATCCAGCCTGCGTTCCCGGCAGCCACTCTTTCCCTATGGAGGAGCCAAGAACATATCAGAGAGGACAGTCAATAGTCTCTGTCACACAGTCTGCCAGCATAGTGGCAGTTGACACAGTATCATGATTTATGACAAGAGGCAAGCATAATATATCTTAAGCTTTAATATTGTCACCATTTGTCTGTCACCAATACTTAAAATATTCAGGAAATACAGCTGCATGTTCTCCAAATATTTTAATTGCATATAAGGATATTAAAATTTTTTCTATTAAATATAAAATGTCAATAAATTTAAATGTGTGCATTAAATGTGTTTATATAGAGATATTTGCTCTGAGGAGGATTTATGGACCAGGAAATCAATGCCCATCTAATCCATGCAAACTGATGAATTTGATTTTTCTTTTCTACCCCTTCCTAGGCTTCACTTTTTAAAAAACAAATGCCCTTAGGCTGGGTGTGGTGGCCATGCCTGGAATCCCATCAGGAAAGCTCAGGAGATTAAGCCAGGGGGACTGCCACGAGTCTGAGGCAGCCTAGGCCACCCAGTGAGGTCAAGGTAGCCTGAGCTACATACCGAGACCTGTCTCAAAGAAAGGGAACAAAACAAAAAAAAAAAAAAATAAATAAAGCTTAAAAGAAAGAATTCTGAGAAATGGTTCTGTATTTAATGGTAGCTAGAAGTTCTGATATTCATGGATGCTTATGCAAACAGCTGTCATTCTTTGCAATGGCGTCTGTCTCAGTTACTCTTCTCTCACTGCTGAGACAAATACCCGACACTTGAAATGAAGGAAGGAAAGGTTTACGTAGCTCACAGTTGGTGGAGGTTTCCGTCCATGCTCAGCTGGCTCCGAGGCAGCGTGGCACAAGGCAGAAGGCAGCAGTTCATGGCGTCAGCAAAGAGCAGCGAACAAACTGGAAAAGCAGCAGCAACAGCGGCAGCAGAGAGCAAGTCCACCTCTGTCTCTCTTACGTTACATTCAGGCTCTCTGCCCCAGGCTGAGGGTAGCACTCATACCCATAATCCCAGCAGCACTCACACCCATAATCCCAGCTGTACTCACACCCATAATCCCAGCAGCACTCACACCCATAATCCCAGCTGTACTCAGACCCATAATCCCAGCAGTACCTAGACCCATAATCCCAGCCTTGGATCATGAATTATTCACAAACTCTAGAACTGCACCTCAAGGACTGCACGAGGCTTTGGGAGGGACAAATACACACAAACCATAACAGCATCATTATCCAGTAACAAAGCATTGTTTTATTTGAACATGTCTTTGTCTTTCTCTGCTTGTTCCAGCAACAGTTTTCCTGGAATTTTGGAAAAGACGTCGAGCAGTAATTGCTTATGACTGGGATTTGATAGACTGGGAAGAAGAGGAGGTTTGTATTATTTACCTCAGAATTTTTTAAAAAATAAATCACGTGGGATGCGGTGGGACGTGTCTATAATCCCAACACTCTGTGAGGCTGAGGCCAGGGGACTGCAAGTTCAAGTTCAGCCTGGGCAGCTTAGCAACCTAGGGAGTGTCTCAAAATAAGAAATGAAGATGGCTGGGAAGATAGCCGATTGTGACGGTTGTGGCTTCAACCCCAGTATTTAAAAAAAATAATAGATCAAGAAATATATCCTATGAATTGTCTTCACAAGGGCATTTTCCATACCCATCAGTATGCAGGGAATTTTAAAAGACAAAGTTCTTAAAGACATTTTGGTTCCTCAGTGAATTAATTTCTACAAGTACTGAAGCGCCTCACCTGTGGGCACGGACAGCAGAGGCGGAAAGTCCTGCATTCATGACACCAGTCCTGTGGGCTTGCAGTCCACCCTACTCACCTCATTTTAGCTGAATTATCTCAGCGAAGCCCCTGACCCCAAATGTGGCCACAGTTGGATGCCCAGACTTCAAGGGATGAACTATGAGGGCCAGCGGGGAGGGAAGGGGAGAACAGCACTGCCATCACTCCGGAGGCAGCTCTGGCCCCACGCAGCCTCGATTCCCGCGTCAGCTGCCCAAGGGCTCTCGGCACCACTCAGCACCTGCCTCCCTGGAAGAGCTCCCGGCAAAGCAGAGGATTCTGGGCCTAGTCACGTTCTTGAGTGTCACCATCTAGAATATGTCAAAGAAGGCAGGCCCTGCTTGTAAGCTCGGCCCCTGCACAGGGAGGCCGCTCCCAGCCAGCCTCCATCTCCCAGCCCTGTCTGCTGTCCACCCCGTTACTTCCGGTTGGCGCCATTGCCCAGGTCTGGAGCACCTCTGCCTGGAAAAACTCCACCTGTTTCACCCAGTTCTGCTGTGCTTCAAGGCACTCAGGCAGAGCTTGTACTTCATGCACTAGGAAAGCACTCCTGTGTGCCTTGGCCATGTACCCTCTCCTAATCCCACCGTTGCTTTTCTTAAATTAATTATTAATTAATTAGTACAAGATCTAGCTACAAAATTTGTAGTGTGATCCTTCTGTCTCAGCCTCCCCAGAACTGAGATTACAGGCATGTGCCACCATGTCCGGTTTCAGGGCCCTCACAACAGGCCCAGGGGATCAAACCTGGGTGCCAGGTAGGCTCGTAGACCACCAAGCTATCTCCCCAGCCCCTCACCATTACTTTTTTGCAAAGCTTATCACATTGGGATGGGGTTAGCTCAGTGAGACAGGAATCTCAGATAGGAGTCTTTCTTTGTTTCCTTTTTTAAAAAATAATTTTATTGAGAAACATATAGCAATGAGACAATTTCAAAACTGATTAGTAGGAGAGTTTCAATAATTAATACACTGCATATTGTTGTCTTCTTAGTGGTTACTCATAGTACAAGATGCAGACATGATATCCTGTCCAAACACTGTTAGAACATATCTTTCTATTCATTGAATTAAGAGAATGTAGCTGTATATCTGTTGTAACTATTCTTAATATACAAATACAAAATGGTTGTTCATTTGTATCCCCTTTTTCTGTTTAGTTTTGTCAGAGAAGGGTATTCCATTGTCATTTAAATATCATAGGTGTGTGAATTCAGCAAAATAATCCAGTATAGTCCAGTAGTCCATAATAGTAGTGGGTCATCCGTAGGACTGGCAATGTCAGAAGTTGTTGACTTGAGCCTTTTGCAGCTCAGCATATTAATGTGGCTTTACTTTTTATACTTCGTTTTTATACCGTTCTGCTGGATGGTTAAGACCAAGATAAAGCAAGACCTATATAACAAGAAATGTAGCTTTTGTCAGATGGGAATCTTGATCCTAACTGAACGTGAAAGGCTTTTCCTTGTTTTCAGCAATTAAGAATATCTCTGTAATCTATCCGTTATGCTGGTGTGGTGGTGCATACCTGTCATCCCAGCACTTGGGAGGCTGAGGCAGGAGGATCGCCACAAGTTCTATGCCAGCCTGGGCTACATACTGAGTTTAGAACCAGCCCGAAAATAAATAGCGAGACCCTGTCTCAATAAACAAAAAGACTTATTGGTTAATGGTGAGTGATTCTTATAAGAGCTATTACAAAACAGGTTCACCATGTTTTTTAGTCACCTAAATCTAAAAATACCCAAAATACTTCTTAGGAAGATACTAAGAATTATATTGTCACTACACCTCGCAGAATAGCTTTTGAACAACCTCTTGTTCTGAGGCCTTTTTGTCCTGGTGTCCATGTCACTGTCTAGAAATAAAAGTGTAGTAATTACTCCACATCACTGAAGACTGCTAGGGTCTCTTAAAATACTCTGCTCCTTCCCTCAAGCCTGGTCGGAGAAGATAACAGGAAGTGTAACTGTTAGGCTGCGTTACGTTGCTTTTGAAACAGTGAATCTTGGCCTCTAGCCTCTCAGTGGTGGCGAACCTGTGGCACGCGTGCCGCAGCCAGCTTTGTTTCCCGTCGTCGAAAGCGCCGAAGGTTTGCCATCGCTGCTGTAGCTGGCTCCTCCTCCAGTGGCCAATTTCCAGTCACTTTCCCCAACATTTCCAAGCCCACTTCTCAGCTGACCCATGAGTGTGGCCGCTGCTGACCCAGTATCTTTTCTTTCCTTACTGCGCAAGCCCCTCCTTCAGGCATAACTGTGTCTGCTTGTTCTTTAGGAAGAAATCCGACCCCAATTTGAAGCCAAGTACTCGAAGAAAGAGCGGATGAACCCGATTTCAGGAAAGCCAGAACCTTACCAAGCATTTGCCGATAAATGCAGCAGGCTTGTTGTTTCTGCATCGGGAATATTTTTTATGGTTTGTAGCTGTTTCTAAAACTGTTTCCTAAGTACAAACCTATAGTAACAGCAGCAGTCACATCAGATGTCTGCAGAGGGCTACAGAATAGTTTTGCATGCTGTTACTTCACCCCTGCTTCTCTGGTTGGCGGTCAGGGATGCTGTGGCTCTTGCCAGGTTACAGACAGGAGCTGGAACCCAGAGGCGCAGGGGCGTGGCCAGGGCCCATCGGACGCTCTTGCCACTCGTCATGCATGTCCCAACCAGCCCTGCTGAAAGGAATGAAGAGTGTGCAGTAGAATCTACAACAGCGGTTTTCAGACTTTCCCGTGCCCGCACAGTAAGGAATATATTCTCCAACATAACCCAGTGTATTCTACACAACTGCATTTATAAAACCGACAAGTTTCCCTTTAAAACATGTAATACACTGATTTATTCCGCTTTATTACAGCCCATCTTTAAAATGCCAGACAGAACCTCCTCAAATGGGCTTCCTGCTCCACCCAGGGTCGTATTAGCTTGAAAAGCACTGACAGCTGTCTTAGCTTTTCCTAAAACAAAGTTGTTCTGCGATCAACTTTAATACTATCAACTATTGAACAACGTGTATGCAAATCAATTATTACATCACATATATACACATCTCAGTTACCGAGCAAAGCATAGACAACAGGGATGGTTAGAAGCCTCTTTTCCTCCTTTCAAATGATAAATGTACAAGTAGATGACCAAGACCCCTAGAGTGGGAAGGACAAAACGCCTGTAAGTCCAGACTCTCTGCCCTCTCTGCCATCAAAGCCTGGGGAGTTCAGAGGCCAGGCCAGGTGTCTCTAGAGTCCTCGGCTCTGGAGACTCAATCCCACACCCTGCAGCAGGTGCTGCTTGGTAAGCCACTGCGTCACTCTTTGCCACATTCATACCTCTTATCTTATTTCTCCCACAAGACCGACAGGCATAGGTTCCCATCTCCCTGCCGATAGCTTTGGATGAAGATGTGAGCAGGGTTTGTTTCTTTGCTGCATAACTTTAGCAAAGCTCCAACCAGGGCTGGTGCTCAGGTTTCAGAGCATGTGCCCTTAGAAGTAAGCAGAAAATAAAACTGATGCAAAACAGACCTGAACGAAAGGACTAAGTCAGCACCACCCGGCCAGCTGGCTTTAATTAAGTGGAGCTCAATAATTAAGTAGCTCGGGCCTCTGAGACACATTAGAGGAGTCTTGGATTCCCAATCTTTTCCCGAAATAGGAGACCTGCCATATTGTTCTCCAACACCCCGAAGTCTTCAGGGAAAGATGTGTGCTAAGACATTAGGGGTCTGCCACGGCTTGGTTCCACCAATAGCAAGTAACGGGACACAGGCTTGCACCTGCCTTCAAGCCAGGGGGCCTCAGAGACCATGACAGCACACAGGCCCTGCACCTGCCCTCCAGGGCTTACTTTCCAGTGGGTGGGCTGACAATGATTAGACCAAGTGCTAGAAATTGTGAGTGATCTCCTGGAAGAGGGTCCATGCCTGAGGTAGAGGTACCATGGATCGACAATATGGAAATCATCTAGGGGCCGCCAAAGACTCGTTATGAAGCGGTTCTGGAGCTACCGAGCGAAGAAGGATGAAGGTGTTCACTAGGTCATGTGTGTGTTTGTGCACATGCGTGTGAATGTGTATGGCAGGTGGGCGAAGGGAGTGATGTCGAGCCTAAGGGCACTCGGCCTATCTGAAGGAGTGAGAAAGAAATGGGGTCCTCAGAAAGCAGGGTGTGCCCGGGGCTCAAGGGAGCCTTGCAGACCACGAGAAGGGCTTTGCTTTTATCCTGGAGTAATGGGAAACTGGCAAACAGTTGTGAGCAGGAGCGAGGCTAGATTGAATAATAAGTGTGGGTTGGTCTTCTCAAGTAGGTATTTTCCTTTAGAAAGCGCTCATAGCTTCAACCCTCCAGCAGTGCTTGTTTTGAAAAACAAGAAAATAGAAAGTATCACACATGCACAGGTGTGGTCTCTGCAGTCTGTACCACCTTGGCTTTGTGTCACCTTCTGCACCCGGGAGTGGGAATCCCCCATGCTGCCCACCCAACAGTTCACTAGGTCTCCTCTGTCTCCCCGCCAGATCTGCGTGGTGATCGCAGCCGTGTTCGGGATCGTCATTTACCGGGTGGTGACCGTCAGCACTTTCGCAGCCTTTAAGTGGGCACTAATCAGGAATAACTCTCAGGTCGCAACCACAGGAACTGCCGTGTGCATCAACTTCTGTATCATCATGCTGCTGAACGTGGTAAGCAAGCTGCAAGCTAACGAGCCGAGGGGGACAGGCAGAGCTGCCCCGAGAGCTTTCTCTGTCAGTACAGAGCCCAGGCCTCCAAGAGGCAGGTTGGTCATGCGGTACTGAGGGCTGTGCACCAAGGTGCCTGGCGTGAAGACACACCCACATCTGGAGCTATAAAAGGCTCGATTCAGCTCTGGACACGAGGATTTCCTGCAGTATAAACTTGGGAAAAGGCATCGACCTCTCTGAACACTAGTGGCCTTGTTTTTGCAGTCAGATAACATGGGATATTTCCTTTGAGAACCTTAGAGAAACACTGCCTTTAGAAGACCCAGCTCAGATCCTGTGACACAGCTCGGTGTTCCCTCCATTTCTCTTTGGTTCTGAAGGATAGGAAGGTAATCAGTACCCAAAGTAGATAACCCTGCAAAGAGAACAGCAGGGGGAGCTGTGGTGCTTGTGCTGAGGTCAGGCTTCTTTTCATTGCATATGCCCCCCAGACCTCTTAGGCCCTCCATTCCCAAAGCCCATGGCTTTCTTCTCCAGGCAGTAGAAGTTTGTGTCTTCAACTGGGTATAGTGATGCACATATAGAATCCCAGAACTTCGAGAGGCTGAGGCAGGAAGACTGCAAGTTTAAGCCCAGGCTGGGCAACTTGGTGACCTAGAGAGACCCTGTCTCCAGTAAAAATTAAAAAGGGGCTAGGGAGGTAGCAAAGGCCCTGGGTTCAATCCCCAGTAGTACTGCCACCAAAAAAACATTTACGTCTCCACAGTGGCCTCACAGGCTGACCCTCACTGGTTGCTGGGATGTCTCAGATCTTTTCTCCTCCTCGTTTATCCTAGTTCACCCTTCTTTGTGTGCCCTAGTCCCCGGATGTGCCAAGCACACTCTCCTCAGGACTGAGTCCCTGTCCTCCCTCACCTCCTTCAATCTCTATTCAGATGTTATTTTACAAATAAAGGCTCCCCTCCACCATAGTAAGACCCCACCCCACCATCTGACAGCTCCCTACGTCCTTGCCTGCTCTGTTTCCCTATCACATTGATTGCCATCTACGCATGACGCCATCTGTTGTCCCTGTTTTGTTTATTATCTGTCTTCTCCACTGGGAGGAGGGCCTGTGTAGGTGAACCTTTCCTTGTCTTGCTATTCCTAATGCCAGAATCCCAGCTTTCTTGGAGGGCACTAGCACATAGTAGGTACTCCATAGATCATTGTTATTTTCTGTAGAGGAAGAGGCAATGGCTGATAGGCTTAGACTTGGAGGTCAAGCGCACGTAAGTGCCAAACTTTAAGGCTTGTAGTCGAGGATAAATGGGATGATGCATGTGTGAAGTAGTGTCAGGCGTAGAGGCAACATTCCATTTGTGATAGATCCCTCTCATTTATAGCGTATTGTGTCCTAAATTTAAGCCATGTTACCAAAATGTTCATGCCACTAGGACTAGGACTAGGACTTTCCAAGGCCAAATAATGTCATGCAAAATAAAACTCAGCACAGTTTTACCTGCATAGATTGTCACATCCAGCTCGTTAAACAAACCATAATCCTGTAGCCAATAAATCTGGAGCCCTAAGAGAATTCAACCTACCCAATGATATAAGAGCTTTCGTTCTGATTGCTGGGTGAGCAAGGGGGGGCCAAGATGATGAAACTCAGACAGTTTGTTAGGAGTAGTGATGGTATGCACAGGAGCTTCTTTCTTGTTTGAGAAACAAAGTTTCAAAATCAGAAGTGATGAAAAAGAAAAGAAAAATGGTTGTGATCTCTTGGAAGTGATGACCACGTGATGTTTACTTTCTGGACCTTACCCTCCCCCACCCCCACCTTGTGCTCAGCAGCTCAGCAGGTCTTGGAGTTAATTGTGAAAACATGGTGGGAGGAAGATTGATTCCCTGCGAAATCTCCCAAATAGTCCGGAAGTTGAAAGGTCCCTGGCCAGGCGGGATGTGGTGAATCAACACCTGCTGTGTCCTTTCCCCACCCTCCAGGGCCTCCCCGATGGTGTTGGAGCAACACTTGTTTAGCTTAAACCACTCACCCAGAAGTCTCTACTAGGAGAATCAATCGCACATCCTGTTTCTGAGTCTTTCCTATACTTTTCCAATCTTAATTGAAGAATCAAATGTGTGTGCGATGTTTACTTTCTGGATTTGATGAAATATATTTACTTTAAGTAGTATTGCCTTAAATATAAAATTCTTGGTATTTTGCAGAAATTCTCTGGGCCTGACAAAAACCTTATGCCTCTTAATGACTGGTTAAGAGATACTTACTGGTTTGCGTTTTATTTTATATCCTAAAAAATAAATACAGCAATACCTCGATTCATAAATGCTTCTGTTTGCAGTTTGGTTCTCAGACAAAAGCATCCCATTCACAAAATTTTGCTTCCATTCACAAATTCTACATCAGGTGATAAACACAAGTGTGGCCATCTTCCCAAAAATTATAAAACAAATTATAACAGAGGTACCACTGTATTTCAGAGCCAGAGTAAATAGGAGTGAAGAAAGTTTCTTGCTCTTTTTAATACTGTTTCAACTCTGTCATGCTTCACTAGTGACCATAGAACAACTCAATATGCTGATTACACGTGAGGTAGGCCAGCACAGCATATATCTCAGGAGAAGAATAAAAGCTATTATCATTCTTTTTGCTCAGCCATACAAATATAAATCAGGTGTCATTCTGCTGTAAGTGGTGAAAACCCTGTCTTGTTAAAAAAAAAAAAATCTGAAAATATGGCTAATGTCAGAACAAATACATACACTGACTGGAATGAAAAGATCAAATTATAAGTGCTCCTAGCTTGTTTTCTTTTTTATTTATATTTTTTATTTATTTATGCAGCACCAGGGATTGAACTCAGGACACTGTGCTTGCCAGGCAAGTGCTTATTTTACTGAGCTATCTCCCTAGCCCCGCTCATAGCTTGTTTTAGACATACCCTTAAAGTCAGAAGGTTCTCTGTCAATAATAGATGTGAACAAGTGGAATTTGTGACATAAACAATAAAATTAGAAAATAACTTACAAAATGGTTGCAGGAAACACCTCACTATGGATGATTACCTTAGGATTAAATTATCTAATTAAAAAGAGTGACCAAATAGATAAAAAGAACAAGATCCAACTCTATGTTTCTTAGAAGAAACTCACCTCACCTCTAAGGGTACCCACAGACTCAAAGTTAAGAAGTGGAATAAGATATTCCATGCAAGTGAAATTGAAAAGAAAGCAAGAGTTAGCACATTTTCATCAGATAAATTAATCTTCATGTTAAGAGCAATTAAAGGCCGGCCAAATAGCTCAGCAGGTTAAAGCACCTGCAAGCAGGCACAGGGGCCGGGGTTCAATCCTTGGGCCTGCCGTACTGGCCCCGCCCCCCAGGAGTTCACTGAGACTGTAATTGAGACCGGAAATGGTGGTGCGCACCTGTAATCCCAGCACTTGGGAAGCTGTAAACAGGAGGATCACTACAAGTCCAATCTAGTAGTAAGACCCTGAACATCCTGTAGATACTTCCCTAAAATACAGGAGAAAAAAAAAAAAAAAAGAGCAGTTAAAAGAGATAAGGAAAGTCATTATATAATGGTGAGGGTTAAATTTAGAAAGAAAAAAAAAGATTTTGTGATATCGTTTGGAAGCTAACCTTTTCTGCCTCTCTTATCTAACACAAGCACCGTTAGCTTTTAGCTCCGCTGCTGGTGGGAAGTCAGTGCTTTGCCATGAACTGCTCTTTTGGAGCTGCCCCCGGACTGCTGGCCAGGAGCCCCTGTGTGTGCGACACTTCCCTGGAGTCTCTTCGTTTGCATATTAACATATATTGAAGGAATTTACTTGATAACGTGGCTTCCTGCCGTGTTCCTATTACATTTTACCTGCCCCCCCCCCCCCAGCAAAAAGCTAATATTGACCGTCTATTGATCTCTGTGCTGGTCTTTTTTAAATTTCAAGTTTTCCAGTGTTTATGCCCAAGTGACAATGACACATATTCAACTTCCAAGAAATTTGAGATAGGTATACCAGTGTCAGTGAGTCACATGAAAGATATAAAGGGTAAACCAGGGATCAAAACATTTTTTTTTTGGCAGCACTAGGGGTCAAACTCAGGACCTTGTGTTTGCCAGGCAGGCACTGATGCCACTGAGCTATATCCACAGCCAAAACATTTCTAGAAGTGATTAGCTCACTAGCCAAGCTAATCACCCTTGATAATTACATAAACAAGAATTTTAATATAATATTAAAATAAGTTTGATTAATTTGTTTTATTATTTACGGGGTTGCGTGTTTATGCTCAAATGACTATAACTAATCTATACTGCAGATTGTGTTGCTAGAATGTATACCAACCTCTTTTAACATTAGGCTGTAAGAGCGTCTATGAAGAGCACTTCATCTAATGGCAATACGAACTTTATCTTAATGTGGAAAACCATATACCTTAATACAGCAAAATAGCCACTGCCGGAAGTTTAGAGTCAGACAATCCAAGTGTTTTGCCAACTCTGTAGCTGGAAGAAAGTCTGGATAAGAGAATTCAGGAATTAATGAAAAAGGCCAGGAAACCTCCTGCCCATCCACCTCCACAAAAGACAACAGTGACCGAAGAGGGGTTGAGGCACTGTACCATCCTACTCTCGCTGGGTGCGGAGCTGGGAGTCCAGCCCAGCCAATGCTAGCTGGCTTTTAACTCTCTGGATGTAATCTCTGCTCTGTCCAAATCCATTAGAGCCATTTTCCTTTTTCCTTTGCATGTATCATCTTTCTCTTTGAGAGAGGCAGCACTTACTCTTTCCCTCAATTTATGCCCTCTCTGAGGGAATCTCCTCTGGCTAGATTTGTCCCCCTGCCCCCCGCACATGCGCACACATGCACCCGCACAGCTCTCTTGGGACATGCATTTGCTAGATGCCTGAGTGAGTTAGGGACACACCCTGTGCACTATGGAAGAGCCGAGTGCCTGGGGCCTCAGGAGTCCCTGATAATGTCCGAGGGACTCAGCGCTGACCCATGCAATGCCCTCTATGAACAGCAAGGCTGCAGGCGCCAGTCAGCTGAAACAGCCTGAGAGATTTTACACCCGGAATGCTGAGCCTCAGGGCACTGTGGCTGCCCAGCCTTTCTTGAGAAACTGGAAATTAGTGGCAACTCTTCTCCTGACTACAGAGTTATCCAACCACAATCAGGAGTGAGATTTTCAGAAATAGTAAAATTGTACCTGGCGTATTTCTGACTGGCCACAAAAGGGTGCTGTTGTTTACAGTGTTCTCAGGATTTGAGCAATGAAATTATTTACACATGTGGCTTGATCATGGATTTCCCTTATAATTATAGATATATTCAGTTGCATATTGTATATTTATAATTACAGATTCTAGAATATCTGCAGTTCATCCATTAAATGCATGAAATTTATTTTACAGCTCTATGAAAAAGTTGCACTGCTTCTGACAAATTTAGGTAAGTGGAACCCTTTTGATTTCAGTAGGGTACTATTTCAGTACAGTCTAAAAGTAGGTTTTTGCAAATTCCTTTCTCCAACACTGCTGGAAAGAAATATTATTCCCTTTATTTAGAAATGCCCACAGCATCTTCGCTTTTGGCACACCACTCTATGTCTAGTAACAGGAGGCTCTTTCTTCTAATAAAAACTGACACAAACATTATCTGGCATGACCTGCTATAAATTAAAATTGGTTTTGCTCTTCAAGCTCACACATACAAAATGATATCATGAACATACCTGATCTGCAGCATCCAGCATCATTTAGCAAAGTGTTTATTTGCATTTAACTACAAATTTTGGTGAATTAAAAATATATTGGGAGCTGACATGGTGGTGCGCCCCTGTAATCCCAGCACTTGGGAGGCTGAGGCAGGAAGATTACTGCAAGTTCAAGGCCAGGCTGAGTTTAGAAGTAATTTCAAGGCCAGCCTGAACTGCATAGTAAGACATGGCCTCAAAACAGACCATGTATATGAGGAGAGAGAGAGAGAGAGAGAGAGAGAGAGAGAGAGAGAGAGAG